CTCACTCTGTCTCATGGATTCGAACTTCTAACCTTCAGGTCAGCAGTTCAGCCAATCTCCAGGTCAACAGTTCAGCAGCACATTAACCCATTGTGCCACCGCAGTCCCACAAAACATTTCTTAAGTGTTGGAGCAGCGGACTCAATTCAGAGGCCACCAATTCAGACTCTGCTCTAGAAATACAATGTGTAGTAAATCCATACCTTTGTACCAGCTTTGAACTGAATAACTCTTCAAATAGAAACATGTCCTTTGTAAAGTATGTCCCATGTTTACCTCTTCAGTTCTACTTTTCAATCAATTGAGGATGACAATTGGTATGTGAAATGATGACTGAGATGGGTTAAATTGTTATGTAGGAGAGGCAGGTCAGAGTGTTATTTAATTTGTATGTCATGTACAGTTTACAAGCCATTCTTCTTAAAGAGACCTTATATTTTGGTGTATCAGTTATTCTAAACCTCTACCAGATTGTGTAAAGCGGCATCAGGAGCTGTGTGGCCTTCCAAATGTTGAAGGGACTCCATCTCGCAGCAGTTCTTACAAACATAGCCAAGCACAGCCTCATTCTAACTTACTGTTTGAAAAACAAACTTTTCCTTTAAGGTAATGAGCCATTGCCATGAATGCATTTATTCTTTAATGCTTGCCAGCTAGTGACATCTACTGGTGTCCTTTGGAAATATCAATCGAAACTTTAAAGAAATAATCTTCTAATCAACTGTGTAATGCTGTAGATTCAAAGAAACATGTGCTTCTTCCAAATTCAGGCGAAAAGAGGAAATAATTTATTTGATGTCAAAAGATTAAGCATTCCTTATCTGGAATTCCCAAATCCAGAAACGTTCACATGGGTGGCTAAGATAAGGACACTCTCCCTATCAGATGGTTCAATGTACACAAATTTTGCTTCCTGAACAAAATTATTAGAAATATTGTATATAAAACTGGTTTAAGGCTGTGTGTATAAGATCTACATGAAACATCAATGAATTTTGTGTTTAGATTTAGGTCCCTTCTCCAAGATATCTTAAGGTACTCAAAATATAGGTTCTGGGGTAAAATTCATCTGAAAAGCACTTTTGCTAAAGACAAGTGAAAATGGAAACTGAATCTCAAAAACTTTATTGGGCAGTCTCATATTTTATTGCCAATCTTTGGCCAACAGTTACAAGCTGCTTTGAGGAAGGGATGGGCCATTATATCCTGTTGTTAAATCAGCAGTTTCCAAACTTGGGTCCCCAGGTATTGTTCTGCTATAGCTCTCATAGTCCTAGTTGCGTTGTTGTCGGGGAGTCCCAGGACTTGATCTTCAGCAACATCTAAGAAGCCAAGGATTAAAAGCACTGGTTCAAACTGGACATTCTTTTTAGTCAACACTTCTTCCACATACTCCTCTTGCTTCGGGATTGTCACCTAGGGCATTTTGTATTGTTCAGAGCCTCCAACTGCTGATATCTGTTGTAGATGTTAGATACACCCCCTTCATCATTAAGTATGACATGTTTCTGTTCTATTGCTTTGCCTTAAAAAATACTGACACAGACTTTCTAAGCACAAAGCACCCAGAAGAATTCACCCCAACACAGATGTCAGGAGATATAGTATTATATCCTAAATTTAAAAGTTAAATTGAAGGCCTGACGGTTTAATCTTTCTCTACTCTCCCTATTTAAACAATATGCAGTCTTTGTAAAAGGAGTCAGAGAAAATTGCACACAGTGACTTTGTTGCTGCTGACTTCTAAGAAGAAACCAAAATACCTCTAAAGACGGAGGCCCCATACACCCACATTATCTGCTTTGAACTAGATTATATAAGTCTATACTGCCATATAATCCAGTTCAAGGGGTGATTTGGTTTCATTCATTGGATCACCATCATTTGAAGTTGACTCAAAGGCAGTTAACAACCACAGCATTTAGCACTCCCATGGAAAGAGAAAGTTGCTACCATTTGTCTCTGGGAACAGTGAGAGCGAATAGTTCTCCAGAATGTTGGATAAGCGAAAATGTTGGATAATAAGGAGGGATTAAGGGAACGCCTATTGAACATCAAATTACATTATAATTTTACAAATTAAGCACGAAAACATCATGTTTTACAACAAATCAACAGAAAAAGCAGTTCAATACATGGTGACATGCCGTAATTACTGTATTTACGAATTTAGCACCAAAACATCGCAATGTATTGAAACAGCTGTGGATCTGGGCGGGAGGCAGATTGTGTTAGATAATACAGAACGTTGGATGAGCAAAGGTTGGATAAGCGAAACTCTACTGTACTTCATTTACATCCAGTATGCACACACCCCGAATAATAATAATAATAATAATAATAATAATAATAATAATATTGCTTCTCTGTTACATTTTCCTTCAGTTTCCAATTTTCTAGCATCGGAAAAAAGTGAAATGTTAAAAATCATTCATTCCTAGAATAACTTATGTTGTGTTCACATTCTCTTGATATCTTTACCCACCTCATGTCTTTGAATGCAGTTGTTCCAAATGCTCAGTTGAGTTTTAAACCTGCCTCAAGTTATGATGAGAGGTGGGTAACAAATATTGATGATGATGATGTTCCTGCAATGGTAGCAATAGAGAGATTGAAAGGATTTCATGGGAGAAGGAGTTCTTATGAGGAGTACCATGTATTTTTTGCATAGTTACACTGTTTGGAGCCAATCGTCTATTTTACTTCTATTTTATTTTTACTTTATTTTGTTTATACGTCTATTTTACTTCTACTGGTGAGAAGCCAGTGAATAAAGAACTTTTTTGTGGAGCAATTCCTCTCCTGTGTTGAGAGGAGGCAGTCTGGGGAATGTGTAACTTTCAGGAAATGTATAAAAGCTAGAGAAAAGAGCGATAAAATTTAGCTATGAGGAGAGAATTACTACTAGGGGTATCAGAATGAGAACTGAAGAGGGCACTTTTACCATTAATGGTTATACAGAAGAGGGAACGTTAGCATTTGAGTGCTTGTGATATGCTTGTGTGGTATAGCAACCCCTGTTACGTTTCCCTCTTCTATGCCACTGCTTCTTGAATTGTGGATCCCAGCCACAAATGGAGTCTCCTTAGCTCAATGTTCAGGTCACGAAAAATTTGGCAACAGTAAAAGGTTTCTGAATGCCACCTATTTGTGCATATCTGTTAGCAACAGTGTGCTGTCTTTACAGTGGACTCTGCAGAACATGCTTCAGCTGTACTCCTCAAAAAAGAAAATCAGCTTGTTTATCAAGGCTTGCAAATGCTGATTTATTCTTTAGTAAATGTTTGCTTTTTATTTCTATTTTATATGCCTATATATCCAGGGTCAGATAAAAAATTCAGCAAGAAAAGGGTCTAGAGAAGTGATTCTCAACTTGCGGGTCCCCAGGCATTTTGGCCTGCAACTCCCAGAAATCCCAGCCAGTTTAGCAAATTTTAGGATTCCTGGGAGTTGAAGGCCAGAACATCTGGGGACCCACAGGTTGAGAACCACTGGTCTATAGTAGGAAAAGTTTAAGAAGTCGTGTTCTATGCAACCATTAAAGGTGCAGGAATTCTCTCCAGTTTTCTTCAGACGAGCAACTTCAGGTAATACCCATGCAAGCATGGCTTCAATATACTGTATTTCAGCATTCATTTTAAGAGAAATTTTGCCCTTTTATGCATATTCAGTTCTGTATTTTTTCTGTACAGTATAGCTTTATCTGGAATTCGAAAATGTAATAGTTTCCTAAATCTGAAATTGTGCATTAGTGGCTGAGATAGTGATACCTGTGCTTTCGATGGTTCAGTGTACACAAACTGTGTTTCATGCATGAAGTTATTAAAAATATTGTATAAAATTATCATCAGACATTGTGTGTAAGGTATAAATGAAACATAAATACATTTCTTGTTTGAGTCTTTATTATTACTATTATTATTATTATTATTATTATTATTATTATTATTATTATTATTTGAAACACACAAGATGAGTCCACAGCAGATACTCTGCTGGCTGTTGTATTGGATCACACGTCGGATAGTTTCCAAGTGTCTAGGACTGTGTGATGTATCGGCGAATAATGCGTGCAGATCCCAGTAAGGTGGCCTTTTGCAGCAGCAGATGGTAATCTTGTCAGCGCCGATTGTGTTTAAGTGCAGGCCAAGGTCTTTAGGCACTGCACCCAGTGAGCTGATGACCACTGGGACCACCTTGACTGGCTTGTGCCAAAGTCTTTGCAGTTCGATCTTTAAATCCTCATATTGTGTCAGCTTTTCCAGTTGTTTCTCTTCAATCCTGCTGTTGCCTGGGATTGCAACATCAACGATCCATACTTCGTATTATTATTATTATTATTATTATTATTATTATTACATTTATTTATACCCTGCTTCTTCTCTCCACAAGAAGACTCATTTCAAAGATATCTCATTATATACACATATACAAATTCCGAAATCTGAAAAAAAACCCCTGAAATCCAAAATGTATTTTATTTATTTAATTTACTACATTTCTATCCTGCTCTTCTCACCCTTGCAGGGGACTCAGAGCGGCATACAAATAGCAATAAACACCTCTAGTTCCAAGCATTTCAGAAAAAGGATACTGTATTTTTAGAAATTGTTTTTTTTCAGGCCAAGCTCTCAGAGGAAGGCTTTTTTCACATCAAGATAGAATCACAACCCTTAATAAAAACAAAAGCATCATAAAAGCTAAAACATACGGCAGCAGCAATACTTATTTAATACAAATATGTTAATTCATCTGCCACCCTGACATAGCAGCTGCAAATGTATTGGCAGTCAGTTAAAATTCTAATTGACTCTTCCTCCCATGTTTATATATTACGCATAATTATAACCCATTGCTAGTTCCAGTACTGTTGTAGTGACTTCTTAACATTTATATTTAAGAAAAAAATCTGTGTCTGTTTTATTTTATTAGCATGCTTTTTGTGACAAATATCTTGAAATAATTGAGGTTGAAATTTCTTTCTTCCCTTTTTTTTAAAGGTATCTTCTATTTTACTGTCCACACGATCTAGCCTACCGCTGTGTCTCTTTTCCACCTATACGACTGATGGTTGCAGGGATGAAGGAAGTGACCAGGACGTGGAAAATAACAGGCGGAGTTGCACATGCGCATAGCCATTACAAGAACGCCTGGATTGTCATGATAGTCATTGGCTGGGCCAGAGGTAATGTGCAGAACTTCCTTTATTTTTTAGGAATGAATAATTCGAAATCAACTCTTTCTAATAGGGAATCACTTAGCAATAGGACTGTGGATATTCTCAGAGGAAAGATAGATTTAAGTCTGGTGTCTACCATCTTTCTTTGTTGGTCGTTAGAGCTATAAAGTTCAATCATACCTACATTTTATCATAAGTAAATCCCATTGATTTCTGTGGCAGGGCAAGCAAGATGTCAATCTTACTCCTGTGATCTTATTTCTGTGGCTTTTGAACCGAGGAAATTGGTTTAGCTAGTGTTGTGATTTGAAGTCACTTCAATGGCAAAACCACCATCTTTGCTACAATCATGCAAGTTTTGTCAGATTAACTAGTCCCTTCTATGTTGCCCAAGGTATAAATGCAGCAGGGTTCTCTTGCCTTTTTCTGTCAATTTTGCTTGAGTTGCTCATTTTCCTTTTCTTTACCTGTTCTAAATCCTTTTCCCTAGTTGCTAACCCTTCCTCTTTGAAAGTTACTCGCAGTAGGTTAGGTAAAGGTTTTCCCCTGACATTAAGTCCAGTCGTGTCCGACTCTGGGGGTTGGTGCTCATCTCCATTTCTAAGCCAAAGAGCCAGCTTTGTCCATAGACTACTCCAAGGTCATGTGGCTGGCATGACTGCATGGAGCGCCATTACCTTCCCGCCGGAGTGGTACTTATTGATCTACTCACATTTGCATGTTTTTGAACTACTAGGTTGGCAGAAGCTGGGGCTGACAGCGGGAGCTCACACCACTCCCTGGATTCGAACCTGCAACCTTTTGGTTAGCAAGTTCAGCAGCTCAGTGGTTTAACTCACTGCACCACCAGGGGCTTGTAGTAGACTCTTGGTTTCCAGAACACTCATAGATTACAAAATCGTGGATACTCAAGTTCCATTATATGGAATAGCGTAGTAAAAGAGCATTTATTATATAAAATTGCAAACAACTCAGTGTTGATGAGAGTCTGTGGATCTGTGAAATGGTGAGAGGCTACCGCAGGGTATGATCAGTGTAGTACTTGGCAGGTGGCAAAATCGAGGTTTGCTTTTGGGAGATTCCTTTTTTCTGAGCATTTTTTGATCCATCGTGGGTTGAATCCAGGACTTGTGTATATCAAGGGCTCACTGTACATTACTATTTTGTAGGCAATCCGCGCTAATACTTTTGAAACACTTCTCAAACTAGTAAGATGTAGGTAGGATGAGGACCAAGAACAGAATCCTCTGGGAGGTGGCTCTTGCCCCATCTGTGTTTGACTTTTGCCTTTTCACCCTCGCACAAGTGTCTGGAGGGGACTGCCCACACTGGTTGGAGGTGAAGTGAGACCGGGTCCCAATGGGCCTAAGAGGCAGGGGTAAGAGTGTTGCTGAAAATGTCTTCCCAAACCTTCACTGAATTGTGTCCAGCTAATCTTCTTTCTTGGACAAAGTAGGTAGCAGCACTACAAGGATTATTGGATAAGTTGGGCTCTCTGGATGCATTTCAGCCTAGCTTCAGGACTGCATATTGGATAGAGATGGTTTTGGTTACTTTAATGGATCATCTTAATGAATAGAGAAGTTGAGTGTGTCTTATGGTATTGCTAGCTCTTTTGTCAATTTCCCAAGCTTCCTAGGATGGGGCTCACAGATAGATTACACAGATGACATACAACTCTATTACTCCTTTCCACCTGCTTTAAGAAAGCTGCTCAGGTCCTGAACCAGTGCTTGGCAGCTGTGACAGTCTGTATGAGGTCAAATTGAAACTGAATCAGACAACACAGAGATACTCCTGGTTAGTCGTAAGGCCGAACAGGGTATAGGGTTACATCCTGTGCTAGGTAGGGTTACATTCCCCCTGAAGACACAGGTTCGCAGGTTGGGAGTGATCCTGGACTCATCGCTAAGTCTGGAACTCCAGGTTTCAGCGGTGGCCAGGGAAGCTTTTGCACAATAAAACTTGTGTGCCAGTTGCGTGTGTACCTTGCGAAGCCAGATTTGGCTACAGTGTTCCATGCTCTTATTGCATACCAAATAGATTACTGTAATATGCTCTACGTAGGGTTGCCTTCAGAAGCTTCAAGTAGTCCAATAGCGGCAGCCAGGCCGCTCACCAGAGGGGCATACAGAGAGAGGACATGCCTCCTGTTACATCAGCTCCATTGGCTGCCAGTCTGCTACTGAGCACAATTCAAAGTGCTGGCTTTGGCCTATAAAGCTCTAAATGGTTCTGACCCAGTTTCCCTATCCAAACGTGTCTCCCTCTATAAGCCAGCAAGGAGATGAAGATCTTCGAGGAAGTTCTTGCTCTCAATCCTACCTCCTTTGCACACTTGGCAGGGAGAAGAGATGGGGCCTTCTCAGTGGTGGCCCCTCAGCTATGGAACTCCCTTCTGAGAGAAACTAAATCAGCTCCTTCCCCCCTGACCTTTAGGAAAAGACTAAAAACGTGGATGTTTGACCAAGCATTCAATGAGTAATCTAGGAGTGAAATAAGAAAAGATGAAATAATTCAACAAATTTGAACCATCACGGACTACGATATTGGATTGTGTGACTTTAAATAATTGGCTTTAAGCTTTTATTATACTTTAATTATTGTTTTAATGCTTATGTTTTTAGTATATTTGCACTTAGCTTAAAATTGCGGTATAGCATTCGTGTCCATCTGGTCTACTTCTGAATGCCAATAAAGGCCTATTTGATTGGGCGTATGTATTTATTACGTGTGTTTTTTGGCATCTTGCTTATATATGTAAGCCACCTTGAATCCCCTGAATGGCGGGGTATAAATACAGTAAATAAATAAATAGAGTTCAGTATATAAATAGAGTCCAGTGAATAAAGACTCAGCTGTGCTGGATAGGGAGGAAGATTCAGGTTTACAGTTGGGTATCCTTCTGGATTCAATCCTGAATCCGAATGTTCAGGTTTTGACTGTCCAGAATGCATATGCCCAGCTGAAACTAGTATATCTATTCCTGGAGATATTTGATCTGGTCAGAATGACACATGTCTTAGATACAGCTCATTTGAACAACTGTAACCCACTCTCTTTGTAAGAGTCCTCCAATGTTAACTAGTTCAAAACCCTGCTGACTATAGGGAGCAGGTGAACTTCTTATCTGGCTCTCCTGGTGAAAGTGTGGAGTGTTGATTGTAACATTTAAAGTCCTATACAATTTGGATCCAGCATATCCAAAGGACTATATTTTCCCATAACAATCCTGTTTTGGCTTTGAGAAATGGGTGGGGTGGGGTGGAGGCAAAGGGAGTCTTCTTCCAGCCTTGCCATCTTTAGAGGCATGTGTGTAGGATATAAGAAAGAGCTTCTAGAAAACTGTGTAAAGGGAATCCCCGTATTTTTAAAATTGTTGCTGCTTGAATTTTATTCATTTCATTGTTAACTACCTAGACTGGCATTTTATGGGTGGGCGGTGGGGCTGAGAAAGATGGAATAGAAATAAAATAACCAAATGCAGAAGTGCCTCCAATTCCAGGGAGCCAAATGACGTAGGATGCTGCCCTCGTTTCTTTTCTCTCTCCCGGCTTTGACAGAATTTGAGATTATTCTGGTTGAATTATTTTTGAGAAATATTAGGCCTTGCCCTCTGTGAATAAGATGCTTCTAAAGAGTCTCAGACTGAGTATCCAATTTCAATAACTGTAAAGTAGGTCATCCCATTCATGTCTATAACTTGAGGGCCCTATCTTGCTCCTGTTGAAAGGAATGTGACGGTTTTGAGGTTGTCCTAACTAGAGGCAGAATTGAGTGTCTAAGAACCTTTGAACCAATTTACGCATGTAATAATAATTTTTTTTTCGGGATTGTAGGAGCTGGTGGCGGCCTAATATCCAACTTTGAACAGCTGGTTAGAGGTGTGTGGAAGCCTGAAACTAATGAACTGCTGAAGATGTCCTAGTAAGTCAGTGAAAAGCACAGAACAATTGTCACAGTTCTGGGAATGTTCTTCTTCTCTTTATTGAAAAGATGTATGTGAGTAGCTCTTCAGTGGCCTGGCTCTTTAAAAGGAATGCTATAAAACACTGTGTTTCAAATATCCTACTTTGAGGGAAGACTTTTTGTGTCAACTTATTTGCAGAGGACCCACTACGCTTCTTTTGCTCATTGCAAAGCATTCTGGGACTTGTGGGGTGTCCTCCTTTTTCTGCAGAAATTGAGTAGCGCTGGACTGAATATCCTTTATCCCCTATAAAAGAAGCATTTCTCTCTTTATAGACAAATTATATTACTTTTTTGGTGGAAGTGGGTGAGAGACGGACCACCATTGTCAGACCAACTGGCAGAAAGGTTTCCAGTTGTGTGTGTGTGTTTTTTTTTTTTTTTACCAAAACAAAATGTAAGCTCTTTGAAGGCAACAGTGGAACTGCAACCAACAACCAGGGTCAGGCCCCATTTGTGACAGAATGATCAAATTTCCTACTCTATTCCAATTCCCCCCCTCCAGATTTGGTTTTGCCTCAGCTTAGTGGGAAATTATCACTAGGACTACTATGGAACTAAGTCCGTTCTCTGAGCATACATTTGACCTGCAAGTCAATTGATGTTTTTAATTGATGTTTTACTAATTAATGTTTTAATTGTTTGGTTTGAATTGTGATTGTGTATTGATACATGTATGTTTGGCATCAAATTGCTGCCTGTTAGTTATAAGGCCACCTTGAGTCGCCTCCAGGGTGAGAAAGGCGAGATACAAATAGAGTACATAAATAAATAAACTTGTATACATTTGGAAACAATGTGAGCAAGCATTGATCCATTTCCTACCCTTTTCCAGTTCCCCAAGGAAGTTATTATTAGCTGGGTGAAGGAAATTACATCCTTTTTTGTAGGAGATGCTGGTTGTTGTCGGTTTTGAGGGAAGAGCTAATGTGGATATTGAGGGTATTATTGCTCCACCCCCATGGAAGATGCTAGAGCAGTGGTCCCCAACCTTTTTTTGGCCAGGGACCACTTGACCAGGGACCACTTTTACCATGGACCACTCTCCAACATTAGTACTAAACGGGTTACAAATCAGTTTTTGTTCAATTTTTGATTCGTTTTGGTTATTTGGGGTGCCGATTCAGAAAATTGTATTGGATAGACCACATCAGCTCTAGTTTCTGATGCAGAACATATGCTATCCATAGTAGTCATCTGCTTGCCCACAGAAAACCATATTTAATAAGCCTCAGCACTATAAGAGGGTTTTGTGAGACCAGTTGCTCTTGTTGCAACAATGTAGTAACAGTGAGGTCGCAGACCATATTTTAGTTCTTGAGGACCACTGGTGGTCCATGGATAACAGGTTGGGAACACTGTACTACAGACATTGCTATGAATTTCCATCTTCTTCAACATGCCTTATGTGGTTGGATTGCAACACCCAGCACACATTACTACTAACTATGCTAGGTTTGAGGGGAGTTATAATACAAGAGCTTCTGAAGATGTGTTGCTTTGTTGTCATTGGTTGCTTGGAGAGATTCTTTGAAGATCTGTCAATCTTATTGCATCAGTAGAATGCAATACGTCGATGTGGAGTAATAAAAGATGCTCAGTCCAGCCAAGATAGAAGAGCTGATTATGCTATTGGATAATCTTGATCTAGGAATGGTAGATGACTTGTATTCAGAGGAGTCTGAGGAGGAGAACTTCCTTTGTACTTGGGCACTCTGAGTGATGGATGCCTAAAAACGTGACAGGACAAGATCCCCATCACACCTTTAGGGGAAGTTCCATAATTCCAACACATTGCTCTCACTGTGAGAAGAGAGGTTGAAGCAAAGATCGCACACTCCCCTCTTGATGTGTTGATGTACCATAGCCAAATGTGAGTTGTGCATTAGATTCGATAGCCTCATTCATAAGTCCTTCAAAGCACATTTGCCTGCTCATTACATTAAGCAGTAAATATATATTTTTGTAATGCACACCTTGAAATGCATTTGATGATGCATTACACTTGAGTAAATATGGTAATACCCGTAATGAGAGAATTGTGTTAAATAATGGCTGTCAGTTACTACTATGGACCAAAATAAACTGCACCGTAGGACAAAATTGTGAGATTTTACCTGTATCTTCCAGTCTGGAGCCTGGGCAGCCCCCTCTGTGCTGATCGGATTTTTAATAAGAGTCCTTGCAATATTCTTTAGTAGGGGACCTTGCTTTTATGTTCTCAGTCATAAGCACCCTGCCTGTCATATTGATGGATGTTTCTCTACTTTGTGACTTATGTCAACTTCAAAGCATTAGCTAAAATTAAGTGGGAATAATAGTTCAGGTTTTGCGAGGATGCGGGAACCTACTACGAAGGAAGCTGCATTAGCATGCTGTTAGAGCTGTACCTGCTGGCAGGCCCAGGAAGAATACCGCTTGAGTTACAGCTTTCAGCTCAGGCTCGCCGCCGAAGCTAAATTGGGAACGTTAAATCGCTCCCAATTTAAGTTCTGCCGTGGGAAGTGAGAGCTGGAGCTGGCTGGCAGGCTGCAGCCCTGTCGCTGTAAAGGGGAAATAAGCGCGCGGTGGGCATTTTCAAGTCCCTTTGCCCTTCCGCTGGGACTTCCTGACAGGCTTTTTTGTGGAAACGATTATTTTGAAAACAGGGTTGTGACTTCTGGTGTGATAAAAGCAGCGGGGGCGCCAAAGCACTTAGGCACCCTGCTTCCATACCACTATCTTGGGTAATAAAGAATGACAGAAGAGAAACAGAGAAATGCAAGCTGAGCTGTTGCCAAAAGTGTGTTTTGTCTTTTCAATTCCTCCTGACCCCCTCCTAGCTTTTATTGTGGCACCAACAATATTTTTTCTTGCATTGCGTGTGTGTGTAGGGGTGATAGAGCAGGGAGTGTGACATAAATCTTTGGTTATGATCTAAACATATTTTCTGTCAGCTTCATTCACTATGAATGCCTCCTTTTTCCTTTAAAATATATGCTGGGTGAAGAGAAGCAGATTTTTAAATGTGAAAAAGCTGTAAATTCAATTTATTGATTTATTTATTTACCACGTTTGTACCCCACCCTTCTCACCCCAAAGGGGACTCAGAGTGGCCTTACAAAGGCAACAGTTCGATGCCATACATACATACATACATACATACATACATACATATATATATATATATATACATACATACATACACACACACACACACATATATACATACACACACATGCACACACACACACAAATGCATTAAAATCCAAAACAATTAAAACATCAAACATTAAAATGTCAATTAAAATCACATAATCCAAATCATTTTTGAAAGTTTAATACAGCCTGGGGAACAAAAACATGGCAGACAAAAACTGACCAAAGGACCTCATTTTTGTAATAATATTGTGTTAAGAAAGTGGAAGGATTCAAAACAGGTTTGTGCTAGAATCAGATATTTTGAACTTCAGTCCCAAATCTTCCAGCTAATAGTGAATGGTAAGGGATTATGGTTCTTGTACTCTAGAGGACCTGAAAGGCCAATGGTCTTATGTCAATGGATAATCACGATGCAATGGGGAGACACATCTTCAAACAGTCAAAAAATTACTTTAGATAGATCCTGAAAATGTCAGAAACACCTGTTTGCGAAGTTGTGGTGTATGATGCGCCTAGGCTTCTGCTCCCTTCTGCCTTCCTTGAATGTCACATAGTTCACCTTACAACCTTCTTCAAGGGAGACCAGGGCATGATTCTATATTATTGGCAAACGATGGTTTGTGAGAATCTGAAAGTAAGCCCAGAAATCTGGGTATGTGAGAGGAGGCAGGAACATGTGAGCCATCTGTTGGGTGTGCTTTGAATGTGATTTTCCTGCTTCTCGGCAGGGGGTTGGACTGGATGGCCCACGAGGTCTCTTTCAACTCTATGATTCTATGAGGAGTGATCCATAAAATAACATGGACTGTCCATGAGGTGTGTAGAAGACAGTCTTCCATGTTTGAAATATTTGGAAAATTTTTTTTCTGTGTCAGGAGGGATTTGAGAAACTGCAAGTCACTTCTGATGTGAGAGAATTGGCCATCTGCAAGGACGTTACCCAGGGGATGCCAGGATGTTTTGATGTTTTACCATCTTTGTGAGAGGCTTCTCTCATGTCCCCGAATGGGGAGTTGGAGCTGACAGAGGGAGCTCATCTGCACTCTCCCCGGATATGAACCTCCGACCTGTTGGTCTTCAGTCCTGCCAGCACAAGAGTTTAACCTACCAGGGGCTCCAGAAAAAAAAAAGAAAATAAATAAAGGGATGTCTTTCACTATATAACACGGTTTTTGTTCCTGGTTTATAAATATCATTTCCTAATTGGTTCTATCATAAAAACATGGAAAATGTTTATTAAACTGCAAAAACTTGGTTTTGGTGGGATATCCTGCAGCACATTTTGCGATAGTTTTTCAATGAGTATCTCATAATAATCTCAACCAATTCAGCAAAGTTGTGGCAGCTACAAAACAAAGTTTCTGGGGTATAATAACTACCACACAAATAAACAAGTAATAACACATTCAAATCAGGAACAGATTTTTTTCAAATTTCGTTATATACTGTTATGGGTGTCTTGCACCACCTATAACCGGAGTGTTGGATAAAGAACGCAACACAACACAGTTTTCATTCATCCATATCATACTATGGACTGGGTAAAGTTAAAAGAGTAGGTTGTGTGGATTTAATGTAGTAGCTATGGCTGAGAGTTCTCTAGATTTAATCTTCATCCAGGAATATAACTAGTTGATCTTGGGAAGGCATTATTGGTTCAGCACACTTATTTGCAATACTGGTGTAATAAGCCAACTTTGTAATGGATTACACACCTGACAAATCCGCTATGTTTTTGTCCTCCGGGCTGTATTAAATTTTTGAAAAACGAAGTGAATGGAAATCTTTTTCCTATGATAAGAAGACATCCTCACCCTAAAACAATCTAGGGCAGTGGTTCTAAACCTGTGGGTCCTCAGATATTTTGGCCTTCAATTCCCAGAAATCCTAACAGCTGGTAAACTGGTTGAGATTTCTGGGAGTTGTAGATCAAAACACCTGGGGACTGACAGGTTGAGAACCACTGATCTAGGGGATGGAAAGTTCTCAGGAATGCCACCCCCCGCCCCCAAAATGTCTCCTACTTGGGAATTACTTTCTGGTCCTGATGACAGTTCTTCAGCAGTTGTAGAGACTTACAAAACACTTCTGCATTTCTTTTTCCAGCCCTGTGAAAATCAGCTTGGTGGGAGCTGTATTCTTCACGATGCAGCAAATCCATTTCCTTCCAGTAGAAAAGCACGACCTTATGTTCTATTATACCATATTCTTGGTGGGCATGAAGGTAAGACTCTTGGAGTTGATTATTCTTGCGAATAATATACAGTCTATCCCTTGTATCCACAGAGTTTGGATCCATAGATTCAACCATTCCTGGCTTTAAAATGTTTTTTTAATAATCCTAAAAGCAAATCTCAATTTTGCTACTTTATATAAGGGACACCATTGCATTTAATGGAACTTGATCATCCATAGATTTTGGTATCCAGGGGTTTCCTGGAACCAAATCCTATTAAATATCTAGGGCTTACTGCGAGTATAAATCCTCAGAACTACTATGAATAGCTGTAATGGAGTTGGAAGCATGCTGCCCTTCAGATGTTGTACTGGAGGTCCCATTGCCTGAGCCAGCACAACCAATGGGGGAAAAAGGCTTGGAGGTGCAGTCCAGCAGTATCTGGAGTTCCCACATGCTTTAAGGATATGGACCAAATTTGGCACATATACCTTTCATTGTTGTTGTTATTTGTTCAGTCACTTCCAACTCTTCATGACCTTATGGACCAGCCCACGCCAGAGCTCCCTTCATTATCCAACTTAAAATAATTGTGGGGTTTAAACTGAACCTCACCCCTTTCAGGCCCTGAGCAGAGGGAAAGAAAAGGGACAAAGCAGATTGACAGTGGTTAGGTGAAGTGGCCCCCTGTGATATGACTGGGAAAGAAAGAGAGTGAAGCAGTTTGGCCGCTGCTAGGGGATCTGTATGAGGGAAAGGAAAGAAGTAAGGGAAAAAAAGAGGAAGGGAGGGACGGCGAAGAAAGAAAAAAGGAAGTGAAAGGGAAAAACGTATGAGGGGAGGGCCTGAAGGAGAAAGAAGGGAAGAGAAAGTAATGGAAGAAAGAAGGGATGAAAAAAGAAAGAGAGGAAGAAGGTGTATAAGTGAAACATGAAGGAAAAAAGAGAAAAAGTAGGGAAAGGGAGGGAGGGGAAAAGGGAAGGAAGAAAGGAAGGGAGGGAAAGGGGAAAAGGTATGAGGGGAGGGAATGAAAGAAAGAGAAAGAAGGAAAGTGAAAGGAATTGAAGAAAGGAAGGACAAAGTAAAGAAAGAAAAAAACAGACAGACAGACAGAAGATATATGAAGGAGAAAGAGGAAGGAAAGAAAGAGCCAGGAAGAGACTGCCCAAAGAGACTGGCCAGAGCGATGACATATAGACATTCTGAGGTTGGCCTTCTCAGAGCTGGAGAAGGGAGAAACGGGGGCAGCAGCCCCTCCAACATATGGGCAGTGCTGGATATATACGCTAGTAGTGATGTAAGTAGATCCCCCGGTGCAATAGCGGGTTAAACTGCTAAGCTGCTGAACTTGGTGACTGAAAGGTTGGTGGTTTGAATCCGGGGAGTGAGGAAAGCTCCCGTTGTTAGCCTCAGCTTCTGCCAACCTAGCAGTTTGAAAACATGCAAATATGAGTAGATCAATAGGTACTGCTTCAGTGGGAAGGTAACAGCATTCCATGCAGTCATGCCGGTCACATCACCTAGGAGACCTATGGATAACGCTGGCTCTTTGGCTTAGAAATAGAGATGAGTTGGATGCGACTAGACTTAATGTCAAGGGGAAACCTTTACCTTTAGTGATGTGTGTAGTGTGATAGCACTTCAGTTTTAGTTGCAGAAGTGATGCCTTCTGTATACCTTTCTTACAGATCACTATGATGCTGACAGATCATCCTCCTTCACCATTTGCTCCATTTGAGAACTTATTGGGTCCCCTCTTCTTCGGTTGGCGGCCTCCTCCTTCAAGAGCGAGAGGTGAGGCCAGGGTACCTCAAAATGGCATCTCCTCGGCCTGGAGCTGCACTACGGGTGGAGAAACCGATGAGAGTTCAAAGACGAAGCACTCAAAGAAATCTGACTGAGACCATTGAAAAGGGAGGCTAAATGAAGGTGGCAAACCCAGCGTCTCGTCTGTGCTCCCAAATATTTAATATTTTGTTTTCCTCAGTGATGTGAAACAATTGTGTTTAAGGAGATTTGTTTAGCATGAGGCTAACTATGATAGCGTTTGAGCTCAGGCCATGGTAAGCATATCCTGCGCATGTTCCAGTCCCAGTGGCGCTCTTGCGAGCAACACTGTCTGTGAACTTGTTTTGCAGTTTATGTGCACCACCAAACTACTGCCATGTGGCTACTTCTAGCCTCTAAAATGTGCTTTTTTTGTAAACTAGAATCCCTATTTGGACAAGATGCATCATGTCAAGACTACTTTTTTCTAGTGTAAATGATAAAATAAGAGTTTATATTGTGATGAGAAATTTGTACAATAGTTTTATATGTTTTCTGTGTAAGAAAATAAAATGTTTTAAAACAAACCCCTTTGCAAAATATTGCCTGGCACGAGCCATAGCCAGACTTGATGATTCTTGTTGGTTGTAACTTATTTGGGAGATGATCCAGTCAGATATAGGTGTTTTTAAAATTGATATAATTTTAAGCATTTTGTGGTCACAAATCCTACTTTTCACATTGGCTGAATTGTACTGTGATGTTTCTGTTCTTTATATCTTAACATATATATCTTTCATCTAACTGAGCAATGTGAATTTTTGTGATATTCTGTGACTGAAAGGAACAATTAATATGTACTATCAGATATAAGAAGCCAGTTTAATCTTCTCACACAGCTTCTTCTTGATACACTGCTACTGAATTGTTTTGGAGGCACAATTTTTGTAACTGTTTTCACACTTGACTAGAGTGACAAGGTATCTCATGCATAGTTTTTTCACACAAACCTTTTATATTAGATTTTCGAATTTTTCTACGTACATCCACTTGGAAGCTAAAATACTTGTAAATGCGAGCTTCACCCATCTTCGTTGGGTTTTGTAAATGGAGAAACAAAATTAGTTGAAACGAAAGTTCATATAGGTTAATCTTTTGAGTATGTGTCCCCCCCCCCTCTCTACTTGTGTATCTGTAATGTAGACTTGACGCAGTTTTGACACCAGTTGAACTGCCACGGCTTAATAGGATCCTGGAAGTTGATAGCATTGAGCCATGGTGGTAAAAGTGACGCAAAACTGCATTTTCTGCAGTGTAGATACACCCATAGTCCCATTTCTAAAACAGACAGGGATTTTCAGTAGAGTTGTCCAAAACAGTTTTTAAAATTACTAAAAATTGTATTCTAGAAAGGCTTCCCTTTGTATTTTGCCCCAAATACTAGGTATTTCTAGGGTCTGTGGCAGAACTTGCAAAATGTTAATTTGATAGACTGCACTTCCCATTATTTGCTTGTCAGAATGATCAATAGGTATGTTTACTGTGAAATAGTGAGAAGTATTTTCCCCCGCCCCAAATTCTAAGCCAATGTTATTTAACTAGCTGTAGACAAGACTCACACAGCTTGTGTTGCTCTCTCTAGCTCTGGTTCTCAACCTGTGGGTCCCCAGGCGTTTTGGCCTACAACTCCCAGAAATCCCAGCCAGTTTACCAACTGTTAGGATTTCTGGGAGTTGAAGGCCAAAACATCTGGTGACCCACAGATTGGGAACCACTTCTAGCTGAACATAGCACTTTGGATTGGTATGAGCTGCTAGGCAGCAGCTTGATAAACCACTTGTTTAACAACCTACACGCTAAAATAGTGTATAGGTTGTTATTATTGCTGAAAAATACATTAGAAAGACACCAATTGCAAGGGGATTTCCTTTCTTCCTCTTTGGTTCATGGTCAGTGCTTAGCTTAGTAGAGTTGTGCAATGCTGCTTAGAATTTTTTCTGTTCTTTGGATATGCATTTCAGGAAATAAATAGTGACTTTATAAGTACACTATAGTTTGGTCATTAATAATGGGGGCTTTTTAAAAAAATCTTTGATACATAGTTTTTGGCCTTATGATGTTGGGGCTCATCACTAATTCAATGGGTCTGTTCCAGGAGCTTATAACTGCAGTATACAAAGAAATATATTATGGTCCGAATGTGTCTATGTAGCATTGTGCTGAACTTTGGTAGTTTGAGAGTGGAAAGAAACGTGAGCCAATCACCAGCAAACAATGTGCTTCCAACTTCTGTGATTTCTCTGTGTGCACAAATAAAGTCACTGATGTCTTTGTGTGACTTGGCCGAACAATGCGTTTTGGTACTATATATATTTTTGTACTGCATTTGGTGCTCTTGTCCACAATTTCACAGTAATTGCACTGTAGTCTTTTTAGCACAAATGGGTGTGAAAGTGTATTTAAAATTACTGTTAAAGATATTTACTGTTGTTAGGCAGAAAATGGTCTGTTTTCTGTTTGGATGGACTGCGTTTTAAAATCTGATATTAAAAAAGTAGAACCAGTTTATGTTTCAATGCTTTTTTGGCTGTACGCTTGACAAACATGTAGGCATCACAAATTGACTAGTTACCAACATTTGTAGAACCAGATGTTTTGGGCTTCAACTCCCAGAAATCCTAACAGCTGGTAAACTGGCTAGGATTTCTGGGAGTTGTAGGCCAAAACACCTGCGGACCCACAGGTTGAAAACCACTGCATGATGCTTTGGACAACAATTCCCACATTGGGTTGCTGTGAGTTTTCCGGACTATATGGCCATGTTCCAGAAGCATTGTCTCCTGATGTTTCATCCACATCTATGGCAGGCATCCCTAGAGGTTGAGGGAGTCTGTTGAAAACTAGGCAAGAGAGGTTTATATATCTGTGGAATGTCCAGGGTGGGAGAAAGGACTTATCTGAGACAAGTGTGAATGTTGCAGCTGGCCACCTTGATTAGCACTGAATAGCCTTACAGCTTCAAAGCTTGACTGCTTCCTGCCTTGGGGAATCCTTTGTTCCCACATTCCCTTACAATGGGTTATGTTGGGCAAGGCTGATGGGAACAGTATGCCAAGATTATTTGGAAAGCTGAATCCCCCCCCCCCCATGTGAACAATTAAGTCAGGCTAACACATGACTAGTGAGATAGGTCAGTGGCCCTCAAATTTTGTTACTTTAAATATTTTGTACTTTCACTCCCAAAAGTCTCAACCAGCATGACTAATGGGTCCCCAGATGTTTTGGCCTTCAACTCCTAGAAATCCTAACAGCTGGTAAATGGGAGTTGTAGGCCAAAACACCTGGGGACTCACAGGTTGAGAATCACTGCTCTAAAGGCACTAGACAACACTGGATCTTGGAAACTAAGCAGGGCCAACTCTGGTTAGTACTCTGATGGAAAACTGCCAAGGAATACCAAGTACTACAGGCTATATTTCAGAGGAAGGGATTGCCAAAACTGTTGCGCAGCAAGCGGATCTTAGTCACGTCCCATGAACAAGACTCACAGACAAGAGTAGAAATGAACCAAAAAACCCCCCCCAAACTTTACTCTTAAAAGCAGAGATGAAATACAAACTTGCAATGTTGCATACAAAAAACAAACAGTGCAAGAAACTTATAGCCTTTGTAAGTTACACAAAAGAAGGTATCTTCATCTTAAGTCAAATGAGAAAGCATAACATAAACCTTGAGCAAACAACTATTCCACCATAGCCTCCTTTAGAACAGCATAACGGCTTCTCTCCAACCTGCTCCTCAGAGCAGAGCTTTTGAGTATAGATCTCCTCAGAGGAAAAAGCTCTCCAGAACTGTATTCTAAAAACCCATACAGTTATACCCTATCCGGTGTGGTCCAAGATTGCTGGTTGACCTACATTACCAGCTGCACATAACTACCATCATAAGGCTTTTCTTCAACACACACACATCCTGCTAGAACTTTCTGTAACAAAAACCACCTCTGGAGATTAAATGCCTTAGAAACCTCCTGAAAGTCATGGGATCACCACCATAAATCAACAGCCAGCTTGAAACCATACATAGTTGTCATTGTATCATACATTTATTTCCCCTGTTTCCATGACAAGATGCTACCTTATAACTCCTTAGAGACCCGCTTTCTAATCTCTCCCTTAGGGACTTTTGAGAAGGTTGTGGGCCAGTATTAACCAGTACATTACGTAGGAAATGCTGTGCTAGCTGAACGAAAGAAGACAGTTCTGCACCGATGCTGTCCTGATCATTCATTTCTTCTTGGAAAGCGATTTCGCAGACTTTACATCTGGCTGTTTCCACAGCCTTGCATCCTGCCCTTCCAACGCTTTCCTGTCTGGAGGCAATTGCATTTTTCTCTCTCCAGTGAATCGCAGCTGGGACGAGAGATCATGTTCTTGGGAGCAAGCAGCGGTCGCTTTGATTGGTAGAACCGGTCTCATGGAGAGCTTTGAACGTCGGGGCAGAACCTTTGAGCCGAGGCGCTGTGTTCTGAGGTGAGCAGAGAAGAGAGGATTTCTGCGGGGTTATGTTCGCACCATCCTGTCACACTGTGCAGCTCGGTTGCGGTGTTTTGTACTGGAGGCTGCGGAGCTCCTTTCCGAGTAGAAAAGGATTTCAAGTCGGCTTTTTTAGTTCTCTTCAGTTGCAACTGAAGCTTGGGTGGCCTGCCCCACTAATGGGATCTTGCTCTCTCCAGATTCCCCTCCCTGCACACTGCAAGGATATTACCAGTCTGAAGGTGTTTCCACAAGCCATGCTAAGAATGCTTTTAAAATACTTTTTCAGTGCATGCATGGTTTATAAGCATTTAACATATCACAAAAGTGGAAAAGAGCAATTTATTACATTCTGCTCGTAAAAACCCAAGCTACCTCTGCTAGGTGGCTGCCCAATTTTAGAAACAAGACTTTGAGTAACATCAAAGAGAGTATCATTGTAAATTCTTAAAATGAAAACGTATTGCAATCAGAAGTTCCATTTGCATAAACATTAAGTCTAGTTGAGTCTGACTGGGTGGTGGTGCTCACCTCCATTTCTAAGTTGAAGAACCAGCATTGTCCATAGATGCCTCCAAGGTAATGTGGCCAGCATGATGGCATGGAGCGCCGTTATCTTCATACTGGAATGGTACTTATTGATTTACTCACATTTGTATGTTTTCGAACTGGATTCGAACCGCCGACCTTTCGGTCAGCAAGTTCAACAGTTTAATCTGCTGCACCACTGGGGGCTCCTGTAAATGTTTTAAAATAATTATTTTTAGCACTCATAAAATAATCCCTCTGTATTTGCAGTATAAAAAGCAAATACAAGACGTAAAAGGACTAGATTCAATAGGTCTGGTCCTTCAGGCATTCCCTTTTGTGATACAACTGTTGATAGAAAGGGCTATCAGAAAAGAAGTGTGTTCACAGGATGCCCCAAAACCATGCAGTGTTTGTCCCAGCCCAATATCCAAGGAAGATTATTCCACTCCTGGGGTGTCCCTACTAACAAAGCCCTGTTATAATTTCTAGAAGCCTGTTTTTTTTGCATGTGAAGTTTTGTATTCCTATTTCTATTAAGTCTTTTAAGGACGGCTCTCAGCTTGGTGTAACCGGATCCATGGTGGCGCAATGGGTTAAATCCTTGTGCCAGCTGAACTGCTGACCTGAAGGTCAGCAGTTCAAATCTGTGAGATGGGGTGAGCTCTCATCTGTTAGCCCCAGCTTCCCATGCAGGAACATAAAAGAAGCCTCCTGCAGGATGGTAACATCCAGACGTCCTCTGGGCAATGTCCTTGCAGACGGTCAATTCTCTCACACAAGAAGTGACTTGCAGTATATTCCCAATTCGCTTCTGTCACAATATTTAAAAAAAACTTGGTGTAGTTTGAGCACTGGGCTATGACTCTGGAAACCATGTTTTGAATCCCTAGGACATGGTAACTCACTTGGTAACCTTGAGTAAGTCATGCATTCTAGCTACGGCAAACCCACTGTAATAACTTTTCCAAGAAACCCCATGATAGGATCACTTTAGATTTGCCCTAAGTCAGAAAGACAACAACACCGCTTAGGGGACTTCACAACAGTCTAATTCAGTGTTCTCAATCTGTGGGTCCCCAGATGTTTTGGCCCTCAACTCCCAGAAATCCTAACAGCTGGTAAATTGGCTGGGATTTCTGGGAGTTGTAGGCCAAAACACCTGGGAACCCACAGGTTGTGATCCAATACTCTAATTTATACATAACACTTTCCTATAGATTCAATACTAATTCTTGGGGTCTCCCCTCCAAGTACTCACCAGTACTGCCTTCAACATACTGCCTGCTTTGATCCATATTGGTTGGGAGATTTTGGGAGTTGCGGTTCAAAAAAGGGACATTCCCAAGCTTTCGGCTGAGCCCTTCGCTACTTCCCACTTGCTGCTTGCTTCCAGAAACTGGCAGTGCCAGCCTCTGGCGTTGGCATTTGACAGCATGCCTGCTTTTTAATGTCCCGCTCTAACAGGTGAGAGGGCAGCTTGAGAATGCCTTTATAGCCTATTGTGTTAAAAGCCTGTCTTAAGGCGCCTTTTATTTCTCAATTCACGCGGCTGCTGTGGCGCTTTCGGTGTTTAGCCTCATAAGCAAACTATTTAGAGTGTTTCCTTTTCTTTCCAGCCTGTATTTATAAGCCCATATGGGCCTGCTGAGGATCCAGCTGGAGGGGATGGCCTTCCCTGTGCCACAGCAGCTCCTGGCTCACTCCCTTCCAGATTATCTCGACCAAGAAAGCTGCCGAGCGAGGAGGGAGACGTGTGTGGGTGGATTAGCCAGCAAATTCTCCCAGTCAAAACGTGCTTCCAAAAATTTCACACTGAAAGGCAAATTGATACTGGCAATTTCAATTTGTAGTGGATAAAGATGGATTTAGCATTTAGGAAAGCAAACCAATCTATCCAACAATTGGTGGCTGAGCTATCACTAGAGAGAGAGAGACAGAGAAGGGAAAGCAGCGTGGTGTGATGGTTCGGGTGGATGGCATTAGGGAGACCAGGGTTCAAATCCCCACTCGCCTGTGGAAATCCACTGGGTGATTGGGCAAGTCACATTCTTTCAGCCTTAGAAGGCAATAGAAAACCTCATATGATTAAAAAGAGATGAATAAAATTGGAATTTATTTGAGGGCAATCTATTATTTATTTATGTATTTATTTACTTCTATCCTGCTTTTATCACAGCAGCAAATAAAATACAAAAAAGGAAAAACATAACATACATTAAAAATGAACAGCAACCATCATAAACAATCATCTATATAAATAAAAAGGTAATGCCGAAGGCTTTCATGGCCGGAATCACTGGGTTGATGTAAGTTTTTTCGGGCTATATGGTCATGTTCTAGAGGCATTCTCTCCTGATGTTTCGCCTGCATCTATGGAAGCATCCTCAGAGGTAGTGAGGATGCTTGCCATAGATGCAGGTGAAACATCAGGAGAGAATGCCTCTAGAACATGGCCATATAGCCCGAAAAAACCTACAACAACCCAAAAATGTAATGTT